TCTTATCTGTAACTGACACATGACACTGACACTGTCAGACTGCCTTTATGCTATCGTCTTCACCTTCACCACTCTTTACATTAGCTGTTGATGGAAGGGCTGACAGGTTGGTTTAAGACATTTATGATCATTGCTTACAAAATTCTAAAAGCCTGTCCTCCCATCAGTTTTGACAAAGCTCAAAACGTTCCAGGATTGTTCTGCATGTGAATGCAGCCAAACTTTAAACGCCGATTAAAAGTCAATTTATTTCTAAAACCTTAAATTCAGTGTAATTTTCCATCTTCCATTCACTGTCAGCTGAATGGAAGATGTTTCATACTGTCAGCTGAAGGTTCACATGACTATTATGAAAAGGAATCCAATGAATTAGAGAGAAATCTAAATCAAAGTCATTTTCAATAGTGAAAGCCTTTGTAATTGAAAAGCCTTCCACATACCTTCAGCGTCAGGTTGAACCTCTGCTCGCTGTGCCGTTCGTAGTCCAGACGTTTCTTAAGCCGCAAGGTGCCGCGCTGCTCCTGCTTGTGACTGACCATGTAGAACTTTTGCTCTTGATCTCCAGACACGACACTAAAGGTCAGCTGGGCGTTTTCACCAATGTCCCTGTCCTCTGCTGCAAGATCCAAGACCTTAGAACAAGTTACAACCAGCAATTACATCGTGTTAAGGGAACTGGCTATTATTTTTGACAATAAAAAAATTAAAAGCAAAGTGCTAAATCTCCGAACAATAAAGATAACCCAGGTTTTCTGAATGTGTTTACGATAAACACGGACATGACTGTCTCTGCATATTTCTGACAAGAGCAAATTACCCATCATTTTCAATATGATACAGGAAAGCTTGCAAAAATAACTCCCGACTGTGTTAATTTGTTAAGAATAGGATTATCAATATCCCTGCCCCATCCCCACAGAGGACTTCCCATGATGCAGTGCAGTATAAAGCTGAATTGTACTGAAAACGTTGACATAAAGGCCCATTTAACAATGGAAGAGCAGTTCCCTCCTCTGAGCATCTATCTCTCATGTAAAACTGGTGATCAAGAGTTTCTTGCTTTTCTAAGACAACCTACTGCAAAACAAAGAACTCACCTCTGAACCTATGAATTCTGAGGTCTGATTAAAAGTTTAATCTAAGTCACGGCTGGTCAAATAATCTTCTGTAAGAAACATGAATGAAACCTGCAGGCTTGTCAGATGAATATTAGGTGTTAAGTTTTAATGTGAATTTAATTTCAAGATTTGTGAAGATACCAGAATCCGATCGTTCTCATAATGCACGAGCCATTCGGCAAGTTTGACTCCAAAAAATAATTATATCTGGTCACAATGGCCCCATATTGCATGTTTTCTTGTTATTTATTTTTGTTTTTCAAACACACTAAGAAACAAATTACCACAATGTTGTAGTTCTGTGCTTGTTGATGCCTTTGGTTTTATTGTTTCAGATCTTTTAGTGTCAGATAAAAAAGGTGACACTAAAAGATCTGGGATGCTTTTGTTGCAGACTGACATAAAGCGAGATGTTAAATATAGGAATTGTAACAGCAACTATTCCATCCATCCATCCATTCGCTTCCGCT